ATTTATTATTTTTATTTTATGTTAATACGGTTTCTAGGAATTACAAATTACTTTATGATTTTGAATACTCTCATAACAAAACTAACGTATGATTGTAGGTGTAAGACAGCTTTCCTCGGTATTGTTGCGGATGAGCATTTAACAAGAAGATTTACGTCTCCTCTTTTACAGATAATTCAAAATATGGAAAAATGCAGAGTACGCATTAAAATCTTAATTTTTTGCTTCCAATCATTCTGCGACAACTGCTCTAATTTAAACAAGTTATCCTGAACTAAGTCAGCATAACTTGCTTTAATTTAATTAAGTCATACTGACTTAGGTCAGTTATTTGTTTAAAGTTAAATTTAAACAAGTTATGCTAAAATCAACATAACTTGTTTAAGTTAGAGCGGCCGTGGTGGAGTGTTTAGAGCGCTCGCTTTAAAAGCAAAAGATCCAGGTTTCAATGCGTGCCCTGTACATATTTTGCGTTATCGGTAGAGCTCAGAACTTTTTGCGCTTTGGAGAAGCGGAAAAGTTCTTTGAGCATGTGCAAACAGTTTTTTTAAACCCGTTCTCCAATCAGAACTTTTTACGCATGCTCAAAGAACTTTTCCGCTCCTCCAAAGCGCAAAAAGTTCTGAATGGAAAACGCGCTCAACGAAGGAGGATTAAACATATATTCCGCAGTATTCTGTGAAAAGATTGCTAGGTCTTTTTGAGGCACCTAAAAACAAAATACTGGCTGACAACAATTGCTATTAACGAGGCACATTTTAAACCTGAAAAGTTTAAAATAAGAAAAAATGAACTTTCTAAGTTTCAACATTATATCAGCAATTAAAATTTTAGAAATAAATTATTAGTTTAAGTTTATTACTTTTTAAGTTATTAGTTTGATTAAGGGCTGGGTGGAACCCAAACTCTGATATTTCCAAAAATACAAAGGAACTATTGTAGGTTTTACTCATGGTATTTCTTACTTAGATCAACTGTCTGTGATATTTTGTTATTATGTATATGGTTACAAGCATGAAAAGTTTTTTTGTTTTCTATAAATTAAAAGCCACAATGGTAAACCTTGGAGCACTGACATTTTACATCTACTGGAAAATTATGACACTAATGTAGAAAATTGTAATTGAAACGCATGCAATAAGGTAAGAAGTCTGGTAAATTTTCTAAACTAGAAGGATGTTTAAGTAAGCGGAATGAATTATTGTATTTACTGTGTTAAACATTCATTAAACTTAATAGAGCAGTTTAGTGTAGGTAAGTGCGTTGATTCTATCAATTATATAGGTGTTTTTTTTTTTTTTTTTTTTTTTTTTTTTTGTGCCTTTTACGCACAGATGGGATTAGTTAAAAGAAAAAAAACTATGGACTCAAGCTCTTATTAATTACACTATGCTCATTTCGGTCAGATTCCTCTAAAGTTATAAAATATTTTACAAAATCAATTAATACAACTATTTTATCAAACTTGATAACCAATCAAAAACACTTCTCACCTTAATTGAAAATATTTTAATAAGTAAAAAAAATATTTGATTAAATGATTGTTCGACTGAGAAAAAGAAGTAGAAGCTTTAAACAATTCTGACAATTTTGGAGTTAAAACCTTTTTCGTCATTATTGATGAGTTAATGACGCAACTAACTTTAGATAATGATTTTTTAGATTTGTTTTTAAGGATGTTGGTATTATTGAAATGCAAACTTGTGCAAAAAGGTTTGTAAAGGTTCGTAAAGGTTTACTCAATGAATTTTAAAGATCGTTGTATTTTTGAGCTAAACCGATTCGTACGAGTTGTAACCTTTTTTGCAAAAAATTGTTTTTTTAATTTTCATAAAAAAAAAAAAATCAAAGAGTTGAAGTTAAAAAAAAATTGAGTCTTCTGGATGTTTTAAATTTTTGAATATTTAGGAAGAGTGGAATATTGGCGAACAGCCAGCCGCGAATAAAAGACAACCGTTACAAGAAATTAATCATATTTATAGCTTATCATTTAGTCTAACCTAATCATTCACAAACTCTAAAAAGCAATATTAATAAATCTTATTATAAAATCAAAATTTAGGGCAAAAGCAAACCTTTGGTGTTTGTAATTACTCTACATGCGTGGGCAAGTTCTGAACGCACTGCGGGGTAATAACAAGCACTGCTCGGTATTATTGAATAAAATGCTACTAGAAGTAATTAAGTGTAAAATTTGCAGAATAACCCTTAAGATGTGATTTTAACATTTAAGCACTTCTTGGGAAACAGGATCTAGATTTGCAACACATAATTTGTCTTCTGTGGGCGGATCATCATGAATGAATCATGATACTTTTCCTAGTAAATTAAACAATGACAGTTGTTTTCTTTATTTCTTTTATTTTCTTTGCTACATAATTAGCTTCAAATTGATTAAAATTTTTCATTCCGTTTAATGCTGATGCATTTTCGAATAATTTCATTGAGTTGGTTCAGAGGTTATGATCCCATCAGGTGACAGAACTAAACCAGAAAGATACAATATTTAGAAACAAATTAAGAAACACCTCGTATTTTCATCTCTGCAAAAATCCTCATGTAAGATATTAGTTTTATTTTGTAAAAAACAGACTTGAGTAACAATATTGGTTTGATGCATTTAATTTTTCCAGATTTTTGATATCTAAATATTATAAACTAATTAGGTTCAGGTCAACAGTAATAATTGAGAACAAATCATTAAACTTTGTGGAATCTAACGGATAGGCAGTAACTGCTTTAAATCCGTCGGTTGGTTTTTGCAATATCTAAGGCGATTAAGTCATTTTGTAAAAAGTTCAAAAAGTTCTTATCGAGTAATTTTATGCCCTGTATTTACCGCCACAAATGTCACATTATCAGTTGTAAGCAGATCTGCGTAGACCATGTTATGTTCGATTTGACGGTTGTATGCAATGCGAACAGAGCTGATATGGTTCTCATTGTTATCCGAGAATAATAATATTAACTTTTCTTTGGTTGGTTTAGTAAATGAGGAATAGTAAATAAGTCTGCAAATAAAAATTTATTAATCCAACGTCACTCACAGTGGCACTTATATCAGTATCCCCCCCCCCCTCTCTCCCCGTAATAATTGATCATTAATCAGTTTTTTTAAACACAAAAAATAGATAGAAATTCTTTTCTGAAGCACTGAATGGACAAATGAATTGATAAATAATGTTTTTGCATTTAGTGTACAAGTGTAGTTGTGGAACTTTATTCGCCACTGGTTGTCATCCCAACTTGTTTTTGGTCTTTAGGGGCAAAGATTTTGGAACTTTTTGTAACATTATAAAGACTATTTTTATCAATTTTTTCAAATTTTAGATTTTCGTGATAATTTTTGCAGATTTTGAAAAAACAAATTTACTTCTGTTTTATTAAATACAATATTCAATGCTCAATGAAGAAGGCTTAATCCTCAATGAAATATTGAATTGGCTTTTTATAAAATATTAATACCAGTCTTTATCTAGCAACAGATTTTCAAATCTATGCTTTAGTTTATTTTTATCAGCGAATTTAAAAGACATTTTTTGTACCATTTTGATTGTCAAACTGTTAAAAAACTGGCTACACACGGTTAGCACGGATCGTGATAATGCCAACCTAGCTGACCCAAGAACGTAATAATAATAGCGTACTCATCAAGGTAATCTGTGATGCAAATTTTGAAATCTTTTAATTTTATCCTTGGAAAATAATTTAAATTAAATCTTCAAATTAAGTGGAATTTTTACTTTCTAGTGCGACAATAAAAACACCTGTAAATTGAGAATTATTTTTATATAATTTTCAATTATGAAAACCAAACTTTAGATAAAGTTTCGATTTTGATTTATATTTTGTTTTTATGTTTTCCTTTTGCTACTTATACCTCAAAACGTTATCAATTACTGTGATATTTGGTTATTATTTTCAAAATAAAGGTTACATAAGTGTTCTACTATGTATTACCAACAATTTTTATTATAATTGTTTTATTGCTTTAATTACCATTTTCATTTTATAGACTAAATATTGATTCGCTATTTAAAGCGTGGTTTGACTTATAATATCAGCATTGTCTAAGATGTAAACAACTGGCAAAATGCATGAAAATGCTAAAAAATAGTTATAAAAAAAGTATAAAAATTTAAATAAAATAACACATAAAAAAAAGTATAAAAATTTAAATAAAATAACTAAAACAATTGACAAATAAAAAGTTTGAAGGGTCAGTCAGAGGAAAATTTTATGAAAGGAAGAATAGTCCTTTGAAGAGCAGTAAATTATTTCCTTTTGTAGGAATGTGTTACAAATAAAATCTAATCTAAATTGTCAAAATGTATGGTAAGTGTCATTAATTTAAATAACTATTTCCTCTAAAGGGAGGAATCATGTTAGAAGTTTTTCCTTGTAGTTTAAGTAATCATTTCCTTGATTTTAATTGTTTGTAATTAATACTAACTGTTCGTATGTTAATGGATTGTTATCCAATATAATTAATTTGTAAAAGGGCTATTTTGGTTTAGTAAAGTTGGATTTAGTGAATTGCCATTATGCCAAACCAAGCTAAAGTTCACTATAAAAATTTGTGAATATAAAAAATTGAAAATTTGTGTGCTTATTTTGTCTGAAAAAATATTAAGACAGCTTACTGCTTTCCAAGCAGATTGAATATGCCAACTGTACGAGACAAGTGCTCTGCAATCGTGTTGAACAATTTTGAGCAGGAAACAAGATGGAAAAGAATTTATACTCCCTCCTTTTTATTTATCCTTTGATTAATTTCAATTTAATACAAATGAGACCTGAAACAAAAGACACGATGTGTTATTGCCTAATCTGCTAAATTGGTCATTCAAAGCTAAAAGAAAAATATCGTCTTAATAAGAAAACCACCATTGAAAATGACCCAAATGTGCGCTGCAGCACATACCTCTGCCCCTTAGGAAAACGTTTGTTTCACCAATTCTCTCTAATAAATTTCAGGGAAAACCTTCAATCTTTAGCAG